ATGGGTACACGTTTTGTACACTAGATAATGTTGCTCGAGTTTTCAACGAACGAGGCCTGACCGTGAACACCTTGTCATATACAAACAGCATATTTTTTTAAATAAATTATATTTCTCGACAAGCATATTCCTTAAAGAAGTCCGCTGCAGCGTTATCAGTGGTTTTGCGACTCTCAGATGTCGTGCGCTCGTTATGTCCAATTCGTACGTCTACAGGACGTCTTCCGCGGACGTTCTGTAGACGTCGCGGGGAAGACGTTCGGATGCTTGCTCCGAACTGTCCAAATGCCACTGTTTTGCGTAATGATTCAGAGCTCATTAAGTGTATCTCGATGCACGGTCACCGAAACCAAACCACCAACCATTTTGAGTCGATAATTCGTGATCGCCGCGAGAGTTTCAACTTTGACTCGTCCGCGCGCTATAGCGAGGTATACCTTCCGTTCCGCTATGTTCCGCTAGAACACGGCGGTCCCAACAAGTCGTGCGCCCCGCAACACGGTTCTGCTGCTCCTACACGACACCTTGACAGCTTCCTGTATGGAATTCCGTTGCGGCCCATTTTCCTCGCCCATCCGTCGGTAGTGGGCAGATATTAGCGCCGGAAACGCCGGCACGATTCTCCCGGGAAACATCCGCTTAACCTTGCCCCCCCCCCCCCTCCTTTTTTTTCTGTTATCACCTTATTCTTCTCGTTCTTCAAGTTGACGCATCTTGCGATATACTGTGTAACGGAGGTGTCGCATTTGCATCGTTTTGCCCGTGCACCGTTTTATTTCCTTTATTTCCTTTATGCGAGCCTTCTCTCCTGTTTTGATGCAAGCTCTGAGAACTGTGCCCTCGACGCGTTCGATACGCTTTCCGTCTCGTTCGTGCCATGTGAACGAGTATCGATATGCTCCAGAGTCCTTCGGTATTTCGCGGACCGACAGCGGAATACCGTTGGATGCTGAGATATGAGGCAGCTCGGGCGAAAGAACGATATTTTTTTTTTTTCGCCAAGAGAAAGATGCGTTGAATTTCCGGGGGGTGCTCGCTAATGTAATAAGTCTTCTTTGTGATAAGAGACCATGTTCTACGGTGTTTACCAGCCTTGGAAGTGCAGTAGTATCTAACAGAGGGACGGGACAGTTTGAGTCTACTTATGTATTTTTGATGTAATTTGTGAAACCCGTTCCTAAACGATGTAAATGATGGCAGGATGATGGCCTGTGGTGAGCACTTCGCAACTGTACTTGTAATAGGCATTGTAGGATATAGCATCCAGAGTTACGCGAACAGACGTTCATATCTTGGTGGCATGGTTGACGCATTCACCCAGATGCCGAGCTATAGGATGGCCAATGAGAAGACGATGCGCCCTAGACCCGATCACGCTGTCGTGTTTGTACTCTGGGAATTGGAGCTCTAGCGTGAGCTGAAGTTTTTGTTTCGCTACTATAGTTTAAGAACGGCAAGTTAGGATAGATCGGTAACACTCATCTTGAACTTTGTTTCTTTTTTATCTCTACCTAGTGTTGGGCTGTAACGAAGTCAAAGGTGTAATGAAATATTCTCTTAATACTTTTTTTCTTTCTTTACTTCATACGTATTTTTGAATATTCTGGGAAACTTAATATTTGGGAATCTACAGTTTTACCCTGATGCCTCAACGTGACGATTTATTATCCAAGAAATATTCGCCTTCTCAGATTTTTTTGCCTACAGGCACAGCAAGGTAATAGCTGGTAAAAAACATTACCATTTAAAAAAAGAACTGCATTATGATAAAAATTTCTACAAGACATCTATTAACCGTCCAAGGTCTACATAACCCATAGTTTTTAGGAGGCTCATAATAGCTCGCAAGCAGATCATTTCGTGAATGGTGGGCAACGCAAACTCCATACCCGTATGATCTTTACAAGAAATCTTGTCATGCGCCTTAGTGGCTAAATATAGCCGAAGCCGTACTTGGAAAAAAACCAGCCAGTGTGATATATATCCCGCCAGTTCTCCTTACGTCAACCTGTCGCAAGAATTCGGTGCCGCTTTATGAACTCGGTTTTTCACACGATGTGCTCTGCGGCAAGAACGCCTACAGGGTGTCTGTACGTGACTTTCACGGTAATGAGCTAATTACCGTGATTGCTTTCTTAGCGGTGGTAAGTATCGTCTATGGGCTTCTTGAGAAACTGGGGACTCATCGGCGGACTTACCGGTGTTGCTACAGGCCAGGGCGATGAGAGTATTGAAAAATAAAAAAAATACAATGCCCAAATATTCAAAAAAAAAAAGATTAACAAGGACGCAGATATTCTGAATAGAACTAAGTGATGAGATACGCGAAGATACAGTACGACCTACGTGGGCAGGTTTATTAACGGAATTTTTTTTTAGCGCCTCTCAGCTGCTTCTTGGCAATGAACTCCGGTCTGTTTCAATTCACTACACAGGGCTATTATTAAAATACAGCAGATGTTTTCATTGTATCGCTAAGTAAGTTGCCCTGTGATAACTGACATGTTGAAATACACTATCTTACTCACTCGAGCCTGTGCTGACTGTTGTTTAAGTTTAATTGCTATGATTTCGTTTGGTGAAGTTCAATGACAAATAATTTAGCCATGATACTACAGCTACTTCTTCTTCGTATTATTATTATTATTATTATCAGTAGTAGTAGTAGTAGTAGTAGTAGTAGTAGTAGTAGTATTGTTGTTGTTGTTGTGGTCGTCGTCGTCATCATAGCGAAGCTGTTTTCTGCGCGTTCTCCTTACGCAAGTGACGTATATATGTATGTGAGCGGGAAAACGATTGTCATGATTACACTCGTGCATTTTGGGCGAATTAGCGTCCAGTAGGCTAAGACCACTGGTATACGGCACGCATTGTGTAAACACAACAAATTTCCCCCACGCGATGCCTAATCCGAGCTACGACACATATTAACCGCAAACGCAGGTTGAGATTTCAGCTTTTCGCGTCACAATGACAGCGTATAACTATAATGCTACCACAATCCGTATTGCGGTTGTTGCACTCAAGTTTAGATATTATTGGTAGTATTGTTTTGAGACCGTGTTAGTCCATCACGCCGGAAGTCGAGCTTAAACATATGGTTGGACACAACACCATGCAACGCCGTTGCTTACTATATGTTGAAGCTGTACGTTCTATATTGTACGCTCAGTGTTATACACATAGTTAGCATATAGTTATACATACCGTCCACTGCAGGACAAAGGCCCCTCCCATGCTGCACCAGTCAACTCAAGCACAGGACCGAGTTGACTGGCGGAACATGGGAGAGGGATTTGTCCTGCAGTGGACGTAGTCAGTATGATTATGATGATGATGATGATGATGATGATGACGACGACGACGACGTGTTATGTATATAGTTATGTATACCATGTACCGTATAACCACGTGTGCCACTCTAGGCACAGTAGATGTTTTATAAACAGAAGGGGTGGATACTATTCAAAACACTTCCTAAACTAGGAGGAGGAAGAGGAGGGAGAAAAGTTAAGCGGAAGGACAGAGATGTATATAGGGCGTTCAATGTTAAACTAGGGCTTCAAATTAAACTCTGAGAGGAGATGTTTTTTTTTGCTTTTTGTACTCTTTGGCTGTACTCCGCTTGCATAAGCCCATCGTTTCGAAAATTGCGTCTTTTATTGTAAAAAGGAAGACGCGTTTCAAAAAAAAAAAACACTTAGAAAGTACCTTTGGGGAAATGATACTGTGCTGGTGAGTAGGTTGGAGCCCGCAAGCTTTTTTTTTTTCAGATCATTAAAACGCCGTTTAACATTAAACGCTGTTTCTTAATTTTGGTGCGATCACAATGCATTAAGCAAGTGAAAAAAAAAAAGACTTCTCATTAGTTGGACGTAGTCGCCCGATAGTACACCATAACATTAGCACGGAAGTGCGTTCTGTTTGCGCTGCTTTTGCAAAATGTGAATACGCATATGGTGCGAGAGCCTGGATAGAGATATAGAGAGAAGACAGCATTGCAACAAGGTTATTGTGTAGAACTTACAGTCGTATAAGCACACGCCAACGTTTTGTGACAACGACGCACGAAACAAAGTATGAAGTAGTTTTAATATTTGCGTACGCCTATCTCTATCAAAGCTTGGCACTAACGAAACAATATTAACTAAATTACTTTTTACTACAACAATTAAGTGTATGAATTGTTGCTTTTCAGGGCTGGTAGCGAATCTAGAGCTGTAATGAATTACTTCAGGCGATTACTTTGATCTACATTACTCGTTACTTCGTAATTTTCTATTGACTAAAATTTGATATTTCCACCTCCCTCATTGCGCAAAATGTAAACCAAGGACGAAAGAAAAATACCAGAAAAGATTATTTGAATCCGAAACCTCAAGCGCGGGAATTAAAAAAAACATAATTTATTGAATATCAATGCATAAGTGTGGCAGATAAAGCGAGCATGCCTGATGGGCACATTTCAAATTAATCAATTGATTTGTTACGTAATTTCAAGCAGATTTCAATACTTTTCAGAAGTAATAGTAATGTAATGACAATTTTAGTCAGCTGTAGGTTGTAATGCAGCTTAATCATACCTTCGAAACTTTACAAGAGTAATTACTTCCATAGCTTAATACTTCTTAAAGGTCGTTTGGCTGTCTCTTATGTATGTTCATCACGCAAGAAGAAACCTGCAGAGGTACACTCACGCTCAGTATGAGTGGCTGAAGGGGCCCAAAATCTGAACTATGATGACACCAGCAAAAATTCGATTTGTTCTGAAAGTACCATTATATATATATATATATATATATATATATATATATATATATATATATATATATATATATATATATGTATATATATATATATATATATATATATGTATATATATATATATATATATAAATATATTCAGCGTTGGTGCCATTTTGAGCGCAGAAAACATGCTGTGACTGATATTGAGTATAGATGTGCATGTAAGCCTGGAGATGTAAAACACTGACACTCACCCGTAATGAAGACAGCCTTCTTGACCACATCGTTAGCGTGGGAGCCGTTGCTCGTCTTCAAGGAGCCGTTCTTGACCGGCTTGCCTTTCTCCTCCGCGACCATGTTTTATGGCTGTGTTGAAGGAGTTCCTTTCGAGAAGTGTATACAATCAACAAAGTGGACACTCCATTTTCCTGTCACAGTAATTTTCGGTATACAAAGTCCTCAGAAGTATAGTTACGGATGATGCATTCAATGCACAGTGAACTGTTCCACGATTTATGCACTCGTGAATCGCGTCCGCGATGTGATATGCCTGCGTCACCGTTGACGACGAACGCTTGGACGGTATGGCGGGGCACCGAGAGTTCGAAAAAAACAAAACAGCCTTCTGTATCTGGCAGATGTAGTATCGCGCCCGATAGCTACGATTGTGTCCGAGACATGTGACTAGTGGCAACGCGCAAAAACTGCATTGGCGTCAGTGATTAGTCCTGGATGCGCGTTTGGTTTTCACAATCTGAATTCCAGTCCAGGTCATTCACCTGTAAGCACAACGTCAGTTAAGCCAGCCGAGCGCAAAACGCCCGTTTCGGATGATTCAGGAGTTGAGTGTCCACCTCGGATATCCTTCGTCCAAAAGGCGGAAGATCTTTTCACTCTCCAGTTTCTTCCCAGTGCTGTCTTTCCTCTTTTGCGAAGCTTCGCAACCCGGAATCTTTGTCAAGGTTTGTCCTATTGGATTGAGTATTGCAAAAACTTGTACATTTATACACTTCGAGCTTTAGCGCTGGCATGTACGCAAAGGCTTTGCGAAACTTTTTCAAGGCTTCAGTCTTGAGCAAGCTTGAAATTCTAGCAACCTCGAGGCACTTCTTGACAATGAACCATTATTAAAGCACTTTGAAGACTTCAAGGCACTGCCGTCCAGTTCAGTCTTGAATCACAAAAAAAATTGAGGTAATCTAGGAAGAGGCAGAGAACCTTGGCGCCATGACAATGAAGGCTATGTATTTTACTTGAGCGTCGATGTATCTTCAGACAGTCTTGAGCAAGCTCGGGGACTTTTCTAACATCGCCAGACACTACCGTCTCCTTCAGGACCCCCTTTCACGGGTGTGTATGACGCGTCAGCCCGTTCATAAATGTAAAATAAGTCTGTTAGTCCCAGGAAGCCGTCTTATGCGGTGAAATGGTTAGCAGGGGAACTCCCAGGTCGCCTTCAGGAAGGTTCGAAGAATCGTCGCTTACCAACAAGAATGCGCAATGTCCTGCAGTTGTCCAGATGCGTCGGGAAGGCCACGTCTAGGAATAGGCTTACAATCACAATTCTCTTCTGTTGCAATCAGGGACGTGAACTGTCCTATGCGGAGCGAGATGACGTCGGCAACACACCGTAGCCTCGAATGATCGACGCGTTCGACGCCCGTCTCTGATCGTCTGCACTGGCCGGACCACAAGGTCTACTGGGACCCTTTCTTCACTTCTTGCCGTTACAGCGGCTCTTGCTTGCTTTGTGACCGCAAGCGCTCTTCCCGTCCTGGATGGTTTTTGCTGTCGCGACCGTAGGGGGGGAGGGGGGTAGCGGTTTGGAGAGGAGATCGCCCGGGGCTGACTTCCTTTTCCCCCCCTTCCCCGAGGCGAGACGTCGCCGAGGGTAGGGCCTTTCCCTGGGTTGGCGACTACGGCCGTTGTTGCTATAGCACGGCAGCGCTCTCGCACATTTATCAGTTTCTTTCTTTCTTTCTTTCTTTCTTTCTTTCTTTCTTTCTTTCTTTCTTTCTTTCTTTCTTTCTTTCTTTCTTTCTTTCTTTCTTTCTTTCTTTCTTTCTTTCTTTCTTTCTTTCTTTCTTTCTTTACGAAAATCGTGATGGACCTATCTCACTGTTGTAACGGCGCCCTCACGTTCCAAGTAACACACACACACGCAAGCACGCGAAGAAATGCGACAAACCAAGCACAGCAGCAAAAAAAAAAAAATAATAATAATGCTAGCTGGACGCCCCCAAGAAGCAGCCCGTCATCCTGGAGCCTGCCACAGAGGTGTCAGGGGAGGAGACGATGACGTTGATGATGCGACGCGTCGTCTTTTGTATTTTTGTGGCGTGACGGGAGTGCAGAGAATGCTGCCGTCTTGGCTGTGCGTTTTTTTATGCCCTTCTACGCATCTCTCTGGACTTTATTTTTTATTTTTTTTGCATCCCTTCTGATTCTCTATCGACAAAACTGATTCAGGCTCCCTTGACGCGAAAATTGTTCTCCTCCAATGTTCCTTCGCCTCACAATAGTGCGTAGTTTCTCTTCACACACACCGCAGAAGAGCGCGTGGGCTGTGTTACCACCTTTCGAAGACTCGGTGGCTGTCGGTCCAACGCGAGCGCAAACACGCAATATAGACCTTTGAAGTGGTTGTCCTTCGACAGAGTGGTTTCTAAACGGGGCCCCGCCGCGATGGTCTAAGGCACTCGGCTGCTGACCTGCAGGTCGCGGGGATCAAATCCCAGCTGCGGCGGCTGCCTTTTAGATGGAGGCGCAAATTCTGTAGGCCCGTGTGCTCAGATTTGGGTGCACGTTAAAGAACCTAAGGAGATCGAAATTTCCGGAACTCCCCACTACGGTGTCTCTCGTAATCGTACGGTGGTCTTGGGGCGTTAAGCCCTACATATCGATCGTGAATCACTCCTAAACGGGGAGGTTGTCGCACACACCTTCTATCTTTGTGAATATAGAAACTTCCTCGCTGCGCAGGTGCGCTGATTTTAATTCTGCATATTTGCTTCCGCAACAGACGCGAAAAGAAAGCTTGGCTTCTCGCACTGTTTCTTTAGGAAACAGAACAAATGCTTTGCAAATTTCAGGTAAGTGACATGTGAGTGCAGTTGTACTCATAAATTCTTTAAAATGTACTATCCTGGGAGGTAAATCATTTAAAAAAAAAGGTCTGAAATTGGGTACCGCTACCATTTTCGAAGCATTTCAAGCATTAGGAGCACCAGCAGTTTTTTTTTGTTATATGATATTTAAGAAATAATGTGGCACCGGCAACTCCTTTTCGCTGACTCTAAAAATGTTTAATCAATGAAAAAACAACAACAATGAGCAGTTAAGCAGAGTTCGTATAACTCTACATGCATAACAACACGAACAACACAAGATAAAGTACCGTCACGTAACACACTATATAGTTACACACAAAAAGCGTTTACACTAACACCGTATACGCTGTAAAAGAATGCTGCTTAGCGTATACAGTCACAGCACCATTCAGAGCGGCAAAGTTCAGTCATATAAGGACACAGATTGGGTTCGTACCTGGAGTGACACAAAGCGCTACGCGACCAGGTCATGTCAGGTGAATAAAATCAGTATAAACAGGTCGTCATCGTTTCTAGGGTCGATTCAAAATACGGAGGGTTGTGTAAGTACAATAGATTACACACCACGGATAGTAAGTACAACAGATTACACACCACGGAAGCAGTGTGTAATCGAATTAAGGTGGCGTTGAGCCGATCTCGAAACCCGGTACACGACTTGCATTCTCGCGAGGCTATATCAATACTTCTTATGACGTGAACCCTATATCAGAGGCCGCGTAATCGAACACCCTTGTTAGCCGACTTCAATGCACTACATTGGCGTCCCTTTCGCTAATTTATAAAGTGGTTTTCTACACGGAATGACTGACTACTCAAGAAAGCGTCACGGATATTGTGGATGTAAGCCCATCCTAATCTCAGTGGAATCTCACAGGTGACAGTAGTAGCACACGTGGGGTGTATCGAGGTGTTTTGTTCAAGATGTCAGCTGACCTACCGTTTTCTTGCTCTAGTGTGGTCATATGGGTAAAAGGTTGAAACGTTCATATTATGTTTTTTATAAAATTTTAGCGCGCACAAAAAAAAAACACAACAAAAAAGAGACAAACGAGTGCTAACTCTCAACTAATCGATTTTTAAAAGGAACAAAACGTATAAGTACCTGGGAACCAGCATATCACATGTGCAAGTCATGTGGCAGGCAAATAAAAAAATATGGCTAAACAGAATTTTAAAAACTGTTCTCCTTATCTTTTAGAGCCATCGAAAGTTGACTAACACATTTGTTTGTATATCTATTTATATGGAAGGCTACCGTAAGTTCACGTGTTAGTTTATGTGTTAGTTTATCGCTATGTGAGAACAAAATATCTGTATCGCGAAACACGGAATCACAATGACATGATTCGCAATGATCTGACAAGAGTGAAGAAAGATTCTTTTCTTAGTGAGTTAGCATGCTCTTTAGTCGTGTATTGAGGCAGCGGCCAGTCTGTCCCATGTCAAACATTTTCACAGGTTAGTGATACCAGATATACCACCCCTTCTTGTCATTTTATGAACTTCAGTCCTTCTTTTAGGTGAGAGCTACATTTCGTTTCCCCTGTTTTTAACTTTTTGCCAACGGCCTGACACAAATGTTGCGCCTTAATATTGGCGCTGAAAAACAACATGAATGCCATACCTCTTCGCAACTTTTCTTTTTTAATTTGTGAGAAAACTTTTGAATGTACGGCAAAACCGCACATTGCTTTTTCATCTTAACTGAAGAGGTTCTTAGAAGGTGAAGGCCACATGTCTTTCACTATCCTTATAATTTTTGTCAACAGTTCTGGTGATAGCCTGTTTCGGCAAACTTACTGAGGATAGCCGTACTATATACTTGTTTTGAAAAGCTTCCTTTCATTGCGTGATAGCAAGACTTTGCCGTAGCCCCTCGAAGACAAGACACTGCTGTTCCACTTCTAACAAATTCGAAATGACCTGACCTGAACTGGATCAGGGTTTTTTTTCTGATCTAGGACTGTACATCCAGCACATGTGGTTAAGAGAAAATCTTATTGATAGGTCTCAATAGATAGATAGATAGATAGATAGATAGATAGATAGATAGATAGACAGACAGACAGACAGACAGACAGACAGACAGACAGACAGACAGACAGACAGACAGACAGACAGACAGACAGACAGATAGACAGACGGACAGACAGACAGACAGACAGACAGACAGACAGACAGACAGACAGACAGACAGACAGACAGACAGACAGACAGACAGACAGACAGACAGACAGACAGACAGACAGACAGACAGACAGATAGACAGACAGACAGACAGACAGATAGACAGATAGACAGATAGATAGATAGATAGATAGATAGATAGATAGATAGATAGATAGATAGATAGATAGATAGATAGATAGATAGATAGATAGATAGATAGATAGACGGATCGATGGACGGACTCACTCACTCACTCACTCACTATCAAATCATTAATACTTTAGTACACCCTGCACAACTCCAGATTGGTAACAGTAAGCAAGCATTGTTCTTGAACAGACCGGAATCGCACACGAATGCGATATTATCGTCACCATCTTTTTTTCCCTACTGCTCCCACTCACAAAACGAACGACCTCGGGTCAAAGAAAAAAAAATAATGAAATAGGCACACGCTGGCATAGCACCACGTTTTTATGGCTTTATGATACAGCGTTGATGGCGGAAGTCACATTGCACACGCGCACGTAGACATTACTCGCTCCACCGTTTGCACTAAGCACAGCGCACCGTGTCATTGAAGCCAAAGTACACAGTACGTTGCAGCCCGGAGCATTTGTATAAGTGGCAGTTTAGCAAACGCGCGACCTTCTGCGAGGTGAAATTTGTGCTGCGGTCGCACGTCAGCTCTTTTTGTGGTGGTAGTATACGCATACGTGACGCTATCGCAAACAGTCAAAAAAAAAAAAAAAAAAAAAACACGTACAGTTCCTATAGTCTTGATTGATCTGCAAATTCATCGCCGAGGCGATGAGTTGACTGGTGCCGCCATCACAGTTGAACACACTGCTGTATTTCATGCGCGTGTAAGAACAAAGAAGCTTCGGCGTGAAGTGTGGTGCCAGTTTCACTTGTGTTTATTTTTATTATTTGATTTTATTTATTGATACTGTCAACCCTCGCTTGCGGGTCATGACAGGGAGGGAGTACGATAGTAAGTACAAACGGAAAACCAAAAACAACTGGCCCTCAAATAGCAATGTTGGCGCGACACCTTGAGTTGCATCATCCATTACACGAATTATACAAATAAAAAAAAAAGAAACGGATATTTGCGCAGTTTAAGTAAACGAAGAGCAAGACTAATTATGATGGGTTGGTGCAAATAACGCTTCATTATAAGCCCAGGATCGCGAAGAAAGACCATTTGAAAGGATAAATGAACGGTTGAAAACCAGTTCTAGACTTTTCTGAAAGTATATAAATTGTTGCGGACCAAGTGATCTGGT